GACAACCTATAGAACTTTTAATAAACTAAAACAGATAAAAATAGAACTCCCTATTCATTCCTAAACACCTAAAGTTCTTTTAAAAGACAACTTGTAACTTGCAAAAAAAAGTACTGCAGTAGCTAACTGGCTACCTTTTTCTTGCATAAATTTTTTCTTTATATCCACAAGTACCTAAAAAGCAAAAGCTTGTTCTTGGATGTGTATTTGACACACCTAAAGTAAAAGAATTCATAATATCTGTAATTTTGTTTGACACAGATGACATATCAGTTAAAAAACAATTGAGGTTTGGCTTTCTGTGCACACATTTATGATAATATTCTAAGTGATGGCCTTTTGGGTGCATTTAAGGTCTTTCATTGACTGAAAGTAGACAGGGACTTCATTAATTTCCTCCGTCTTCACTAGCGCATCAAGAATGCAGTTTCATGTGTACACTTTAGGTGCCAATCCCTTGTGGATCAACTCTTCCATGATAAGATATACCTCATCTATTCTACCAACCTTTCCAAAACCATCAATAAGATTGCTATACCTTAATACATATATGCCTACTCTTGATTTTGATTCTTCAATTAAAGAGCATGTATGCTTCATCAAGCGTATCAATATTGGAAAGCTCATGAATGACTGATCCATATGTAACCACTATGGGTTGGTAACCCTTTGTCTTCATTTCCTCTAGAAGCCGGTAACCACTCTCTCAAACAATCTGTAAGCATCATCAACCTGACCTTGCCTACCCAAACCATCTATCATAGAACAATGATTGAGTTTAGGCAGTGGGGTGGCATACACAAGTTTTCTGAAGAACCTGTGGCCCAATTCAGTGTAAGTAGCTTTTTCCTTTTGCATATACATTTGTGTGTGTTATCATTATGTCTGTGTTCTAGCCAAACTTTCAAGAAATAGTCTCAAAATCTTGTTAGGTTAATGTTCTAACAATAAATTTAACTTATATAATTTCTATATAACAGCTTGGTACATATTTGTGGGGATCTAGGAGTAGCTCCAGTGGGTGTGAGGGAGGATGAGTGGAACACCGAAGCTTTAAAAATTCTAAAACGACAATCCGCTTTGCTCCTTGATTCTTTGGTTCTACACAAATTTCAGACTTACTAACATTATAACCTTTAAAAATTTCCCTGTTAAATCTTTCTAGTCCATGTGTCAAACTCCTATTCTAGAATTGGAATTTCCAAGGTATTTTAGGGATGGATTGTTGTTACCATTTTCCTCTCAAGGATGCTGACCAACATCCAATCTGTAATACCTTTTACATATAATGGTTAACTGTCTATTAATTGATTTGTTATTAGTGTAGATTATCATATCTTGTAGAAATGAGCATTCAACCTCTTCTATATTAAATTGAAATGTTTCAAATGGTAGCAAACATGCTTGTTAGTTCATCCAGATTCTTCACCTCATAAACTAACAATGGGTGTCATGCTCCTGTTACAGAATGTTTGTATCAATAAAGAAAGTCATACTATCAAGGTCCCTTGAATGGAACCATCCATGTAGTTGTTGGGGGAAGAGGCGCTAGCCTTGCAGAATTCACTACAATACATACTAGATGGAGTTATTACAAGGACCAGGACTTGGGATTCATAAAGCTTACAACATTTGACCACTCAAATCTGTTGTTTGAGTACAAGAATAGCAGTGATGGAAAGGTCTATGACTCCTTTAGAATCTCACGAGATTATAGGGACATTATGGCTTGCAGTGTTGACAGTTGCCCAAGAATGACATTAGCTTCTTGAAGAGAATACACTTGGGTATCTATGTAAACTTTTACTCGTAGTGGTAAATTGGCACATCTCTTTCATGTTCCAGAGAAAAATAAACTCTAGTATCCTAGTCTTTGCAAACCAAGAGTCTAGACCATGAAGAAATAACTCGGTTTTCTGCAAAATTGTTGTAATTTCTTCATTTTCCTACAAAATTTTTGTATTTTTATTTCTGTAATTATCTGCAACTTTTTTTGCAAAATGTCTACTATTTTCATGCATTTTTCTGAATTTTCTACAAAATTGTTGTAATTTCTGCATTTTCCTGCAATTTTTTTGTATTTTTCTATTTTTTTGTAAAATTCTGCAATTTTCTGCCATTTCTACAAAATTTTAGGTATTTTCATGCATTTTTCTGAATTTTCTGAAAATTTGTTGTAATTTCTACATTTTCTTGAAAAAATTCTGCAAATTTGTAATTTTTGTATTTTTCTTCAAAATTTCTGTACTTTTCTATTATTTCTGTAGAAATTACAGTATTTCCATGCATTTTTTTCTGAATTTTCTGCAAAATTGTTGTAATTTCTACATTTTCCTGCAAAAATTCTGCAATTTTGTAATTTCTGCAATTTTTGCAAATTTTTTTGGGTATGTCCATGCATTTTCTGCTTTTTTTATTTTTTATTAGGGGCAAATATGGAAATCATGGTTGATTCCGATTTCTGCCTCTTAATGAACCAAACAGCATAAATCTGAATCCGATTCCGATTCCTATTTGAACCAAACAAGTAGGGGAAATAGGCCATTCCGATTCCAATTCCAATCACGAACCAAACGGGCCCTAAAATGTTCTTTTGGCTCCTCATTAACGATAAACTTCTAACCAAAAATATCTAAAAAGAAAGGGTCTAAATGTCAGTGTGAAATTGCCTTCATTAAACAAATTTGGTTGATGCATGACTGACCACATACATACCTAGGACCAAAAGAGGATGATAGAGGCCTAAGGGAGTTGATGGAAGCATATGATCTCTATGAAAATAGGGACCAAGTAGAAAATTATTAGGAAAAATTGCTTCCTAATGTGGAAAAGTTTTCAATAATACAAACTCAGGCACTGCAAAGTTTATGGGTTTAGGCTTTTAGAAATCCAAATTGTCAATATTAAGCATAAAGACATCAAAATGGGAAATGTGCTATATGATGCTGTATATAGTCCCTAATTTGAAAAAAAAAAAATTAATAGCAAGAGAAAAAATAATTGGTGCAGCATCAATTAATATAGCTGAAGCATGGGCACTAAAGAATAAATGTATTAATGACAAATTGTTTAATTTTAACTAGCACAATAAGTATGGAGGTCAAAGTGCATTCATGTATTTGGAAGCAAAACATACAATGGAATAGCAAATTTGGGATATCGAAGGAAATTTTGTATTGGATGCAAAAAGGAAAGTCATAGCAATACACGGCAGGTCATCATGGACTTAATAAAATGATGAGAAGATTATACGGCAGGTCATGGACTTGACAAGGAGAAAGAAACCAAACGAGAGGATTGTTAAAGCTAAAGCCCATAGAGAAACGTTTGTAGACTGAACATTTTGGGCAATCCTCGACAGAAACTAGGGATGCAAATCAGGTTGGCCCCAGTTAGCATTTTACACTGTTTTAGGCTTGGGCTTTTAGGCTGGGCCCATTCAAAATTTGACAAAAGTTTAACTTGAGACTGCCCAAGTTGCGCCCCTACTAGAGACTGGGAAACAATTTGATCTGGTTTTGACCTCACCAATCCAAAAAAAGTCAGGTTGGGATGGGTTTGGTTGAAGTTCAGATTAGGGTTAGGGTTAAGGCCTTGGCCAATCTGAACCTGACTTAACTTCATACTTGTGTGTATAAATCTATAATGTATAAAGTGAATACTTGTTTTGGGTCACTGTGCAGGTTATATAAGTTAAAATTTTATACTTTTTTATCCTTTGCTTGCACACATGGCATGACACATGCCCTTATATATAAACATGTATTTATTTTTGTAAGCATTTGCATATATATGTATATGTATATTTATATGCGTATATGTGTGTATATCAATAAATTTAGTTTGAAGGCAATTTTTTTTTAAAGAATAAATGTTAAAACCTAATTAACCTCAACTTGGGTTTAGGAAATAAGAATATTTGACAAAAGGAAATAGCTAGAGAAATTGGATTTAACCCAATCATGTTAAGGGTTCAACAGCTTGGCTAGGGTTGATCTGAAGAAAAAAAAAAAAAAAAAGAAAGAAAGAAAATGGACTAGCTGAACACAGAAGTCACAAAAATGATTGTGAAGATCATTTTGCGTGTAAATGGAATGGAGTAACATGTGCCTAATCCCATATAGTTGGTGTAAGGGACGATGGTGATAATGATAACAAATGGAGAAATCCTGACTCACTATGGTTGACTTTGTAGGCCCGCCCTAGACATCAAATTTGAAACCTACTAAAGTAAGGCATCCAGCCATCCACCAACGACCTTCACTTTGTCCTCAATCAAACTATAAAAATTAATTTGGGGCCACATAACCCTTGGAGCCTCAGTGGGGACATGAGCTCAGACTCTCAGAGCCGTTTCATAAGGGCTGAAGCTAGCTATTCTATTCAACTCAACCATTCATTGCTTTGTCTTTTTTATGGACAAAAACAATTAGATAATATAATACTAGTGACATAATAATTTAGGCAGTTTCATCAGCTTCGGCTTCGGCTTCGGCTTCGGCCATTAATAATAAGGTTCCGTTTGGGAGGGCTGAACAGAAAATTCCGCATAAGTTGTAATTACTTTGCAGAGACACAGCAATTAAAATGACTGGTGGACAGCTGATTTTTCACCTAACTTGCTCCACTGTTAAGTCGATTATTTAGCTGAATAATTTCAGGTTTGACACGTGGAGTCTATCATACAAAGTCAGGAACCCCATGTGAAAGGCCTCTCAAACTTTGTTTTTTTATTTTTTGTATTCGATCTTATGCACCATTAATAACTTTCCCAGTTCCCCTCAACCCCTTTTTCCCCAAAATGCTGATAGCCGAATTTGATTTGATTTCCCAAGAACGTAGGAACAAATTAGTTAATACACCAACGAGTTAGCCCTCGGTTTATAAAGGCCTCCCAAACGGGTACTAAACTTTTTATTTTAATTTATCTACTTCAGCCGTTTATCAAAAGGTTGGCTTTTAACTTAACTTAAAAAGCTCAAGCTGCTTCCTGCTTCACTCCTTCAAAGCACGTGGTCATATCACTGACACAGAGGGGTAGGGTCTTCAATTTTGACCGTCTTCCCCCCTTTCTCAAGTCTCGTCCATCTGAGCTCGGAGTTTCGGACTCGATAACAAAAATCTTGTTAAATATTTATTTATTTATTACATAATATTTATTAGATATGATTTTTAAATCAAAGAACGGTATTCACGTCTGAGCCATCTGACAGTCCAGAACTTGTTCCAATCTGGTGGCTGTAATTAACGACTCCTCACTCTTGTGGAAAGGTCATGTTGGAGACAGGAGACTGGATCTCAATCGGGTCCCACCAGGAGTCAGCAGGTGACCGCACTGAAGCCTCTAGCAATGTCTCCTCAATGCTACGTCACCTTTTTTAATAAATGTCTCATCCCTTGCGTCATCAGGGACTATGGAAATTGATACTCACAGACTGCCCTTCGCCTTCTCCCGTATTTACTATTTTATCCTTGCGTTGACAAATGACAATCAATGTACACATGGACCAGACCGAACGGTCTAAACCCTGGATGGATCGGAAACCGGCAGTCAAAACGGTTCATGGGATGCCAATTGCCCATCCTCAAACTTTGAGTTATGGCATTCTAAATTACTAAACTACAATATATATATATATATTTCAGTTTTGTATACTATTATTTTATTTATTTTTTCACATTTTTGTTTAAACAAGTTAAGTGGTCCAATTGAATCCTTGGACTATTTGACCCATGACCCCCAATAGCTGAAATAATCGTAGGTTCAATCTGAGTCTGACAACACTCCTGTTTTATCCTCCTTTAAAATCGGTAGAGCTGTCAATGTGGGTCGGGTCTAGTTGAGATAGGCCAATAGGGGTGGATCAGTAGAATTGAACCAATTATTAATTGGGATAATCAGATGAAAGGATAATAACAATAAACAATTCAAAACTTCATTTTTGATATAACACCATTCATTAAAATGACAACAAATATATCTTTATATATTGTGTATGAAATTTATCCTTTTTAATAAAAGATAATAAAAAGTACAAGAGAACCAGAGACCTCTATATGATTTTCCGGTATTAATTTGTTCAGAACAGGAAGAGCCGGTCCAACCCTATTATTAACCGGTTCTTTCGAATAGACCAAATCAATTTGACAACTCTAAATAAATCGGGGAAGAAGGGAAGGAATATCGTAAATTTGGTGAAATATAGGGATTAATATTGGGTGCATTCCACAGAAAGAGCCAGAGAAACGAGAAAAGCAGCATTTAAGCACCGACTCTGATTCCTCCTCTCACCTTCGTTTTCTCTGTCCCTCATCGCTTTAAGAGTCTTCCATTCAAAAAGGACCCTTTATAAACCATCTTTCTTCTGAGGTCTAACATCATTCACAAGAACAAAGTTGCAGTCGCAGAGCAAGAGGAGATCGGAACAGAGGGAAGGAAGGAAGCAAGAGCCATGGTTCCTTCATTGCTGAGCTCACCAAGAAAAGTTAGCGCCCTAGAGAGCGAGCTACCTCTCAATGAAAATGACTCACAAGACATGGTTCTATACGAAGTTCTGAACGAGGCCATGAACATCAGCAATTCATGGTCACCCTCCAGAGACACTATATTAATTCACAACCGAAACGGCATTCAACCAACTGGGCACATCGGAAAGAAGCATTACAGAGGTGTGAGGCGCCGGCCATGGGGGAAATTCGCAGCAGAGATCAGAGACTCATCGCGACATGGGGCGCGTGTGTGGCTTGGCACCTTCAATACAGCAGAAGAGGCAGCTTTGGCTTACGACAAGGCAGCATTCCGGATGCGGGGAGCCAAGGCACTGCTCAATTTTCCTGCTGAAGTTGTGGCTGCTACTTCCACCTGCAGATTCAAGCAGAAATCCAGCTTTAATAAGGAGACCTCAAGTTCGGCTGGCAGTTGCAGTGGGGCTTCAAGGGGGGACGATCAATCTTGAGTCCGAAAGTAGTCTGAGTTCCAAGATTTGGGCTCCGACTACCTAGAGAAGTTGTTAAAGGTTTCTGAGATTTGAGAAGCCCTGAATTCCTCTTCATCATCTTCTTGTAGCCCCCTGGAATGTTTAGACATGAAAAGCCTATTCGACTTGGAGTAGGAACATTTTCACTTTTAGGGTGCTTTTTGCCTTGTATATAAGAGCAATAGTTAGTATGACTTGTATGCTTTCTTTGCACTCATATGCTGCATATTCACTTCTATGGTAAGCAAGCAGATCAAGACATGACATGGGTAGGAAAAAAAAAAGTTTGTAACACAATTCTTGAGTAAAATAATAGTGATAGAATCTGTTTCTGTTAACCTCATCCACATAATTGGGCAGCATCTCAAGAAAATTTTGGATTGCTCAGAAGAACCATGTAAGAAGCATATGTTTAAGGACAGTGTTTTGATTCTGTTACTGTTTGGATAATTGAGAAAAGCAAATTGGTTTATAGAGAAATCAAATATAGGCTTCAGAACAGAGGATCCAAGCTCACATTTCTTGTTTTTTTTTTTTTTTTTATTTTATTTTTAAATATGTTCAAATCTAAAGACAATCTCTTCATTACATGGTCATGGGATCATACATTCGGGTTTCATTCAGAGGGCAAAATTACCATTCAATGAACTGATGATATTTTGAGTCAAGGACATGAACATTTGTTATCCTTCTGATTTCTACTTTTTTCTACATGATAGGTCGGTAGCTATGGTTATTCCATTATGTCAAGATTTTGACAACAATTGTAGGTTGGGCCATGATCCTCCTACTGATCAGGCTGCTTCTCTTATCTCGATTCATGAAACATGGATAAATAGATGGTGCTTTAATCTTAAAAGTTAAAATATCCCTATGTAATGGTGATATGCTGCAATTCATGTTTTCGAGATCCAGGTGCACAGAACTTCCTCTGCTCTGTAATATGTCAGTAGCTTGACTGACTCCAGTGATAACTGAAGTAGGTGTTCTCCAACCTGACCCCCATGACAGTGTTAAGGGGTTGCTAGTTTAGTCCAATGGGGACCTTCAACAAAAATCATGAATCATTTAAGCCTCCAACTAAAAAAGTAAGAAAAAATAACCAATAATAAGAAGAACCCTTTTATCTTTAAGTGGGGCATTTCTAAGGTACAGGGTATCTCTGTGACCAAACAGGTACAGTACAGGAAAGTCTTATAGAGTTGGGTCACCATTTAATAATAAGGAGCACACCTCATGAGGAAGAACTATTGTGACGCCAGATTGGAATTTTCTTCACACCAATCTTTTGGTGAAACATGTCCCATCCTCTGAAGGGCCTTTCTTAGAAAAAAAATGTACCACAAAAAGGGTTTTCTATTTTCCTGATCTGTCTCTATCCAAACAGAAGATTCCAACCCTACTCCAACCATCTTGTGTAAGATTCCCAGTTTATAAGTTTCAGTTCGCCAAAAAGGATGTGGAATACTGAAGTCCATAGAAATGGTCTCATGGACACCTTGATTTCACTCACAGGGAACACATTCGTCCTAATTCTAAATCCATAGTCATTCTAATCTCTGTTCTCTGGTTCCCACCATCTTTGTTGAAGTTAATTTGTGTTTAGGTTTCTCACTATGACATGCAAGAAATGATCTAGAAGGAAGCAATAAACAGTATTTATGCTAAAAACAACTACTCTGAATTGACAGGGCTTTCTACTGGGGAGAGAGGTACAAGAACAGTTGAACACATCCTGCTTTCAACAAGAGAAAATGCCAAGACATATCTAGGGACCATCATCATTGGCCATTCCCAACTCCCAAGCATTTACATGTCTAACCCATGCAATTTTTGCCTCGGCAGCTGCAATTTTTGCCTCGGAATCCAAGACATGTTTTAAAGTGCCATTATTTGGTGTAATGGTAAAATCTTAGGCAAGAAAAAGAATGCCAGAGGTTAGGACTGTATCCAGTCTACCCCTCCCAAGACCCTAGATAGATGGGACCAATATTGGGTAATAGCTTTTCTTTTTCTTAATCTGAGACATGTTTTAAATGGTTTAGATGGTCTACTTGACCAGCCCAGTATCACTCTCACAGGCAAATAGGCTCATGTTTCTTCACTTTCTTGAGAGGGATACCCACTAAATCAAGTTGATGAGAACAGCCCGGTATCCTCTTGCTAGGTTTCTCTCATCCAGAATATCATATTCGCCATCACAAAATAGCAGAATCAGTCGCACAGAGAAATGAAACATAATTACCATATGAAAAATAAGAATCCCATTGGCTTGGGTTAGCATGTTTCCACTCTTAAAATGTTTGAAGGTCTTCACACCACCAAGGCAACAACCATAAGAAGGAAATGAAAGGTCAATATGTGGCACCTGATGTCTTCTAGTGCAGTACTCCACTGGTGTGAGTGTGACATGTGCAAACAGTACCTGTGTGTGGGTTTGGGTTTTCCATACTTTCTACTTGTTTCATGGTTACCATTTCAACCAACCATAAAATGGGTCCTACTTAGAAGAGCATCCTGATCATAGTTGATGAAAGTATCGGTATATTGGATACTGTATTGGACAGCTCAGATACAAATATTTATAACACTTGGATATGGTAGGGAAATGCATACAAATCACATAGATATATTTATAAAACAAAGTTTAATACCGAATTATCTATGAATAAGGTATAAACACATGAGAAATGAACTCTTTAATAGGTTCATCATCATCATCTTTGTCGTTATCAATGCCTTATCCCAACTATATGGGATCAATTACACTCTTTAATAGGTTATATGAAGAAAAACAATGCAATCAACAATGTTGGGACTCTAGAACATGTGTACATCATACAATAATTCTCACTCTATTTAAATTTTTATAATTATATTTTAAAATTTTATTTATATTTTTGGGAAAATTTATTTGCTTAGTAGTTTTATATAAATAATAACTTTGTTTCTAAAATAATAAATATGTTTTGATTTTTAACATATAATTTATTTCACATATAATTGTAAAATAAAACATATAAATCATTTAGTGTAGATAAAATAAATTATTTTTATAATTTTCAGTTTTTATTAAATTTGGGGAAAAGTAAATGTTAAATCCTTATTTATTTCAGTTTTTTACAATTATAATTTTCAATTTTTATTAATTTTGTTGGAAAGTTTTATTTATTTAGTATTTTTATATACATAATAACTCTATTTTCAAATAATAAATAAGTTTTTATTTTTATCATATAATTTATATGTAAAATAAAACATATGAATCATTAAGGTAAATAAAATAAATATTATATTTATACTTTTCAATTTTCATTAAAATTTTAGGGAAATTAAATCTTCAATTATTTGTTTTTTTTTCAATTTTTATTAAAGTTCAAAATCAATCCAAATGTGGTTAATATTCAGATTCATCAAACCAAGCATTGATATACTTCCATGTTGGTGCATATCAGACTATATCCATGATACAATTCAATGCGGCTAGATACAAAGCCGTATCATGCTGATACACATGACTTGTGAGATACATACTTAGTCGTGTTGTATCCTATATCTATGGCCATGGATATAGATATGATACACCCCATACCAAGAGTATTATATTGATAATTTAATCCTTGATTTTAGGGGGTGAGACTGTGAGTAGATCCATTCCCACACCCTCCACCTCTAGTAAGTTCATCCCAAACCACCGAGATATTACATTTGATTCATTATAACATATAACCCAACCATCTGTTTTCTTTTATATTTGTCAGACGACTGATAACTGTTGAATCACCTTTTCCAAAATATCAAAAATTGGACATCAGGGACTAAAAACACCTATTTACATAACAGCAAGAGTAAGAATAAAAAAGACGAAGAAGCTTGTTGGTCTTGGACAAAAACCAAAAGCAAGACCAAGGATGAGAAGCCTTTAATTTAATTGCATTGCTTGCACTACAGAGTAAATTGATTGGGTACATGAATATCTTTGAGCATCTTCCAACAAATGATATAATAGAAGTGTACGTAGAATTGTTCAATAGGGATGTTCACGGGTTGGTTCAGTTCGATTTTAGTTATTTGATCAATTGAACCGATCTAATCGAGTTGGGAAATTAGTCACATTAAACTAAGTGACCAATGATGAAAATTGGCCAATTTGGGTTGTTTCGATTTGGTCGATCAGTTCAAACAAATTAAATTTACAAGAAAAATTTAAATTTAAAGAATTGTAATGGTATTATTAACAAGTAAATTCAAAAATAAAAAATTACAATATAAAATATTTTAAACTAGAAAATATGGGACCAGATCTACTCCTCACACAACATGCCTCACACCAACCTCACAAGTACAGTCCACTGTGCATTGAGAAATAATGGGCATCTCCCAATGCACGGTGGGAGATGTGCCTATGAGGTCAGTGTGAGGTGTGCGATGTGAGGAGCATATCCCAATTCAGGAAATATGGGCATTTTCTACTTTTTTATATTAAAAATATAAATTTTAAAATTTATGGTTAAATTGGGTTAGTTTTGATCAATTTATAAATGATCAAACTAAAACCGATCCAATCACTTGGATTAGCACAAAAACTAAATCAAGACCAACCAAAATAATTAGAAAACTGACCAACTTGGGTCAGATTGGGATGAATTGGTTGGTTTCGATTTCAACGATTTGATGAACAATCTTACCGTTCAACTTAAAAGCTTGTTGAGTGAGATCTCCAAATAGGTATTTATTCCCTAATAGCAAGAAAAAGCAGTTCGTGGCATGAAGAGTCATTTCTGCTTTTGAATGAGGAACTTGATTACAAACTCTCGATAAGCTTTTTGCATATTGCTATATATACATCATTACATGTGTCAACCCTAGTTCAATAGGATATCGTTCATTTAGGCTTAGTTTGGAAAGAGTATAAATACAAATATGTACAATAAAAAATACAAACTCGCACACTATATATTTGTATTTGTACTCCTTCCAAATTAAGCTTAAGGGTTACTATTTAAAACTCTGCTTTACTTTTATTTTATTTTCTTAGATCACTATAAGAAAAACGGTCTAAGGCGGCGGTTTAGAGCTGACGTTCTTTAAGACTGCCGCCTTAGAGAGAACTAAAGTGGCGTTCCCAATAAGACTGCCACTTGCAAAACTAAGGTGCCGCTTGGCAGGTCTTTTTGCATGGTCTTTCGATTGTTTACAAGTCGAGAAGACCGAAAATCGGTCTATTCCCATTTGGCATGCGGGAGATCTTGTTAGACAGTGTATGCCCTTACCACCAATCAGAATGATGTACATTATGACATTTATTGTAAATGAATAAAGTACATATTTGATTCATTTAATTGTGGTGTGTTTCTGTGTAATACCCTTAAACTGGACACATATGAGACTCGTGTTAGTTTAGAATGTTCACAGTCGTTAGATAAATCTGGG